GCTGGAGGGGACGTCCCGCCGAGGCAAGCGTGCACGATGGGAAGGTATCAAAACAAACAGAGAAGTCAGGGAATGTTTCTTAGCGGGGGGGCATCTTATTAGACACATGAAAGTCTTTTTTTCCCCAAAAGGAGGGTTCTGGGAGGAAAATGAGCATTTTCCCTGACCGGGAATCGAACCCGGGCCGCGGCGGTGAGAGCGCCGAATCCTAACCACTAGACCACCAGGGAGGCTGTATAGTTCATTGCACATTGTTCCACGGCAGGCAATACCAATTATTAAATTTCTTTGACTATTTTCCCGTTCATTTTGGGCCTTTTTCCCCTGTCCTCACTCCACCTCCAGCTCCGCAGCTGAAGCAGGGAGGTTGTCCCAGCAGCCAGCCCATGGCTTTGGGAAAGGCAGCGCTTCCCGGCTGCCTGGCGATCAGATCTACCCGCATCCAGGTGTTTCTTGGAGGGAAAGCAAGCAAGGGCCACCCCCTCGCTCCCCTTGCACCCAGCTTGGTACTGGGAACCAGTTTGGAGTTGCCCTGGACGCGCTCTCCCTGGGGCGCAGCACCTCGAGAAGCACCGGTGGTGCTGCTCGCGCTGCGAATTCTCCCGCTTACGCAAAACGAGTGAGCTGAGCTGCTCTCTGCATCCAAATAAAACTAATTGCTGGGCGTGCGGCAGCTTCTGGAAGGGTTTTGCGTATATCTGGGTGTGTGGAGGCCTCCGAGAATGTCTTTATCAGCTGCTGCTACCTAGGGCTGAGCTCCTGAAAGGTATTTCGGCTCCTAACTACGACTTCAGGACTGAAACTCTCGGGATTTTGAGCAGAAGCGCCGTCGCGTGACACAGGAGTGGTTATCGCTGGCAGAAGGCTTTGCTCTGCCCAGCTGCGGATCTCACTGAGGTTCCCACCCGCTGCCCTTCAAGTGCCAGGATGAAAGAATCACCAGGTTGCAAAGGAAGCAATTTCTTATTCTCATTTGCATTCGGCAAATAAAGCTTTTCAAGCGATCAAAGGCACGTCCGTACCATCGATTTGGATACCTGAAAACACTGACTCCATCCGCCGGGAAACGCTCCCGTGAGCATCCTCCACCCTTCCTGCGTTCCTCCTTACTCCCCCCAAATGTCCCTCAGGCAACAGCTCAGCCCGAGGCGGTTGCTGAAGCAGAGGTTGAAGCTGGCTGCCTTGGGAACGATTTATTTCTCTTGGTTTGGGGTATCTACAGGAGACCTCTCCGCGCCATCGGATCAGTCCGGGCTCCCTCTGTAAAGGGAAGAAGTAAATACTCCTACATGCACTTGTCGTGCCCTTTCTAGATGAGATAAATCAAAATTTGCCACCATTCTCCACCGACCCTGGAGGGACCGCAGCCTGGATGGCTGAATAAGGAGAGGTGAGTCCTTACAATGTCCAACGGTGTGGACATCGCACAGTGCTAAGCATCAGTCCAAGCTCACACCAGGGATTCAGGTTCTTTTGGTGATTTGAAGTAGCGTTCCACCAGATCAGGTCCTGCCTATCTCACCTTTGGACTAGATTATGAGCGCCTCATCAGAGGCCACACAAAACTTCATGAAGTCTTCATGAAGTCTTCCAGACTTTTGCATCATCGTCCACGGCGTCTACACTCAGTTGTGCAGCCAAAAGCTCGGCCAGTCAAAAAAAATGTTCCAGCAAACAGCAGGGATGCACGATCAGTCGGAGAGGGTGGAGGGAGAAGAACTTGGGAACTGGCTCAACACGCATTCATCTCAGTTCTAACCCTGTCCTCCAACAGGGAGGTTTTTGGAAGGGGTTTATGGGCATGGGTGCATCAGGGCAGCATGACCGGCAAAGCCATTCAGTGACAAAGCAACGCAGTCTCTGTACAGAGCTCCTGTGCGAGCTCTGAACCACCTGATGCTTCTTGCTGACATAAATAATGGGAAAAAAGAGAATTTCCCATCCCTGGCAGCGTGTTCTTCATGCTCCCAACATCTCCGGGGTGATGGGCTCCCATGGTGTCCCCGGACCCTGGCAATTGAGAGGCAAGCAGATGCTGTCCCAGGGTGAGGGTCAGGGACAGAGGGTGAACTGGCAACCCCTCCCCAGGCAGAGCAGGGGAAGGATTTGCTCCCCTGCGAAGGATGTTGGGGGGTAGGTGAAGATGGGTGCCTCGTTATTGGAGTCAAAAAACGCCACTCGCCCCGCCTCGTAGTCCAGGTAGACCCCAATCACCTTGGGGGCTGTGAGCAGAGAGATGGGGATGGTGGGAGAGGTGAGAGCCTGGTACTGGCTCCCACACTGCCCCACCGCCCAGATCCCCACCTTAGGGTTGACGCTGATCCGTCCCTTCCTCCTCACCGACTCCTTGGCCACCCCAACAGCCCAGGCTTCCCCGTCACCCACCTCCACCTCCCAGTAATGCCTCCCCGTGCTGAAAGCCTCGCAGCCCAGGACGCAGCGAGAGGAGTCGAAACGCTTGGGATTGTCGGAAACGGGCTGGCGCTTGTCTTCCCATCTCACATGCTTGCGATCCTCGGACAGGACGAGCCGGGGATGCGCTGTCTCTGGGTCCAGCGTCAAACTGACTGGGGATGGAGAGAAGATGAGCATCACATGAACAGCTCGGTCCTCAAGGTATTTAGGGTCACATTTTCTCCACCTTTCCCCAGCTTGGGATGCTCCAGCTCCCCGTTTGCTGGAGCAGAGCATGAATGGTTTTACGCCCACGAGCAAGATTGGAAGAGTAGGAAAGATGGCTGTGTGAAAGGAGCTTGGTCTAGAGCAAACATACGGCTTTGAAGAGTGGATATTTTTGCGGGGAGTCTCCAGGCCATTGAAAAGAGGAAAGAAAGCCTCAGGTATCCCATAACTTTCCTTTTATAAGTTCCCATGTGGAACTATTTGCAATTTTCACCTTTGGTCTCAATCAAAGCGCCGATTTCCAAAGCTGACGCTGACCCTACGTGAGGTCCCACAGCACCCCAGCACTTACCGTGCTCCCTGAGCTCTGCCAGGAGGCCAACTCGCCCTCTCTCACATAATCAACGAGACTAATTGCTTCTTGCTGTGCTAATAAGGCTACAGCTCTGCAGGGCATGTTGGGAGTATCTCTCCACAGCATTTCACCAGGGCTTCTCCTACCTAGCTGAGATCTCCTTCCCTAGATCTGTCGCGGACGGACCTAGCAGAACCTCAAACTCTCTCCTCCCCAGCTTCTCTGTACCTTGAAATTTCATCAGCATCTCCTTGAGGGCAAGATTTTTCTGAGGAAGACCGGTGAGTTTCTCTCCCAGCTCAGGTGATATCTCCGCTGGCTTCTGGGCACTGTCCTTCTCAAGCCTGGAAAGAAGGAAGACCTTTCTGATAACACTCCCTCCACTCCAAATTGTCATTACGCACTGACCAATTTTCATCTGGGCTTTCTTATAAATAAGTAACAGTAGGACAAGAGCGAAGGCTGGGTCCTAGGGCGGTCATTAATGAGCTCCCAGAGAAGGGTTTGCTGACCCAGGACAGGTATCTGTTTTGTTCCCAAACACCAGTGAAGAGTCTCTGGACGGCAAAGACCTTCCATCATGACCAGTAGGGCTTTACATCAAGGGAAACACAGGCAATAAAAAATGCCTTTCCTTGCACACTTTTGTCTTTCCAGTAACCCACCTTCTCGATCCATGTCCAAAGAGGACATGAAGAGGTCTGTTATCAGGCTGGAAGTCCATACTGGATTCCTTTCCACCTGGATGTACTCCTTAGTGTTTAAAGGTCCACATATTTTTAGCTGCTGGATTGCTTTTTTTTGATGAGCTAACAAAGTTAGCGAGTGAAAGCTCAGCCCGCCCAAAATAGGTAGTTTTGAATGAAAGAAGAAGCTGCAGCAGAGCTGGAGGTACCATCATCCCATCTGATACCTTTCCCTGGTCTTCAGCATCCTACTTGGACCTTTTGCAGTGTCCTGGTTTTCTCCTCTATGTCTATACAGTCCCTAACATGAGGGGATCGTAAGTGGCTGGGATTTCGGAGGTCATCAGTGCCACCGCCGCAGAGAGGAACAACATGAACATCACAAGAACATGTAAAAGGAGCTGCAAACCTGCTCAGGATGTTTCTGCTGTCCTACAAGCGAAAGAGGAGAGAAGGAGCATTAGGTCAGAGCAAAGCCAGCCTGACAGTAAATAACAAGCAGCTACCCCAGGTCCGTGGGGTGACCTCGGGCAACTCAAGGCACCGCTCTGTCTAAATTATGGGTCTGAAACAAGTCTCTGCATACTGATCACCCCCCGCCTTTCATGTTCCCACTCTTCCAGTATGGCTGTTGCTGCTGCTGATGCGCACCACTGCCTCAGCACATTTGAATGTTTTAAATCAGGAGTTAACGAGAGCCTGGGGGTGGGCTCAGGTGGTGGGTTTGAATGACCACCTGAAGACAAGACGAGTGCCTGTTGTTTCTCCGCCACATGTGGAAGAACTTGGACAATGGTTTTGGATGTAGACATTTACAACGGGATGGATGAACACCATACCCACATCAATAGTGATTTAAATAGACTGTGGTTGATTTAAAATCTTGAAGTGGACAGCTGGGACATGTTTATGATCGTTTAAGAGAATTAAAAAAAAAAAAGCTTTGAAAGATACATTTTAAAAGGAATATTTAAAATTAATTTGACTCCTGGGCTGGTGACATCAGTGGTGTTCAAGGCCAACGGTTTTCAGACCTGAGGTCTCACCTGCAGGAATTCACATGCTGGCTGCTGACACTTCTCCTCCAGCTCACAGATCTGTTCACCAATGGAGGAGATCTCCTCCAAGAGTCTGTTGATGTTCTCCTCCTGCCTCTTCATGATCTCCTGGTCCAGCTTGGCCAGCCGGTCCAGGAGGAGACGTTCCTGTCCCTCCAAGAACTGGTGCAGTTCCTTGACTTTGGACGTGATCTTCTGCCTCTCCTTTTCAACTCGTTCCTGCAACAAGAAGCGACGCACACAAAGGAGAAGCAGGGCTGGGTCCAGAAAAATTGCAGCAGAGATGATTTAATGTGATGACTTCTAACCTAGTCATAAATTGCAGTGCCCTTTTCAGAGCAGAGGAATAATTAACACTTTCTTTTTGCCATTTCCTTGATGAACATGCTGTCACCACTGCCCGGACCTTATCGCAATGGAGAGGACATTCCCGTGTACATGCAAGGGACCGCGGAGATGCGATCTTTGGCCATGGCACATCCCATGTCTCCACATCCATCACCACGGCCAGAGGGACAACCGAAAGGAAAGGGAGAGAGTCCTCACCACCCAGGGACAGACACTTACCAGGAAGTCCAGGCTTTTCCCTTCCTCAACCACTTTCAGCCCCAGCAGCTTTTCTCTCCTGTCCTTCAGGATCTCCATGTGAGCCTGGAGTTTCTCCTGAGTGGAGAAGAAACCTCTTGTTGGTGCACTTTCTTCCTCCAGCTGGTCCATCCCAGCACCCTCATCCCACCTATCCAGGTTTATCTCCCACAAACTCAGATTCTTCCCTGCTTAATGACACAATAATGTGGCTTTGGGAATTCGTAAACCCTGATTTCTAGGAGAGCAGGGCAGCCAGAATGGGTCACTTTCTCCAACAACCAGGGCGAAATTCATGGCGTAGATTGGAAAAGGCTCAGGTAAAGGACCAAAGCAGCAGACAAGGAGCTTTAAATGACTGGCGAGACCCTGCTGGCATCTGCTCATGTCCAGCCTGTGCTCAGTGCTGACCCAAAACTTAAAAGTTTGGGCTGTTTGCTGAGTGAATCTTCCAAGGAATGTGGTTCTGGTCACAATCCCAAAGCCTGGATGGGGCATTCAAGCCAGCTTATGGTGGAGAGACCATCCCCTCCATCAGCCTGGTGCAGTGGGACCAGGGGGCTTCGTGACGCCTCTGTGGTGAGAGCAAATTTTTCTTCCCACTTTCATCAAAATCAATTTTCACAGCAACCAGCACATGCCCACAGTGAAACTGGAACCCAGACAAACAATGTGCTGGAAAACCCTACCCTGCTTTGCGCACCAGCACCATAAGACCAGGTTCTGTCGCATACGTCTACACGGAGCATCTCCTGCACCCCAGATGTCCAAGACAGCAGAGCTGACACTGCTTTGAGCAGGATGTTGAGTTGGATGATCTCCTGGGCTCCTCTCCGGCATGATTTATGAGTTCACCGTGATCATACATGAACGGAAGCTTTAAGACCGTCAGGGTGACCGGCAATGTAGGCAACGGGGAGCACAGAGCAGGCAGGATAGGGGTGGCCATAACCCAACGCTCACGCCACTATACAGAAAGCAGACTGAAAGCGGTCGAAACCCAGATGTCTGCAAGCAGAGCAACCCACGGGGCAGCTCCCTAAGCCGGTCCCCTCCTTCTCCTCCCTCACCCCCAAACCACACATGGAGACCTCCCCACCTTGTGCTCCTCTGCAGCCTCCTCGATAGGGACCACGGCGTGGACCCGGTGAGCCTGGGACTCTCTGCAAACCAGGCAGATGGGGGTCTGGTCCTCCTCGCAGAAGAGTTTCAGAGCTTCCTGGTGCTTCTCACACAGCTTTTCCCCCCCTGCCCCTCCTCTGGCCGCCCGCAAGCTCAGCCGCTTGGCTATCTCGATGATTTTTGCCAGCTCCCGGTTGGGTCTCAGGTTTCTTTCCGGGGCTGTCTCCTTGCACTGAGGGCAGGGAAAAATCTCCTCGGCTTCCTCCCAGCAGCGGGTGATGCACGCCCGGCAGAAGTTGTGACCGCAGTGGATGGAGACGGGGTCCTGGAATAAGCGCAGGCAGATGGAGCAGGAGGCTTCGTCGCGGAAACTTTCGGCGGGGCCGTCGGCAGCCATGGTTTTGGCGGCGAGAATGATGGGGCGGCTTTCGCTTTCCGCCCAGGCTGGTCTCGCCCGTTGGCTGCTCCCCTTCCTGCAGGTGTCTCGGGCCCCGAGGGAGGTGAAAGTGAGCAGAGGGGGGGTTTCGCTGCTGAGATGCACCGGGTTTTCTCCAGGCTGTGGCCGTCGCCGGGAAAAACTCTGCACTGAGCAGCTGCAGAGGGGAAGGGAGAATCCCCCTTTCCCCAGAAACCCCGGCGGGTTGAAAAGAGATTAAATAGAAAATAAACACCCTTCATAATTTCCTGACTTAGAGATCCACCTACAGCTTCTGCATCACCCCCCTCCCTCCCAAAAAACAAATTGAGAGGTAGCCCCTGCCCCATGTATCCCCATGGGGTCCAGCACCCAGAAACCAGCCTGCTCTCATCGCTCATTAACAAACGTGCTTTTAATTTATTGATGGAAGGGAATGGCTGTGGGAACAGAGCTGAAGCAAGTCCCCTGCCGTGGATGAGTCTCCCTTCTTCAAGTCAAACCGCCGAGACACTTCCTTCGCTGTTCTTTTCACCTCTTTATTATTTATCACGCCTAACTGCCGGCTTCGCCGCCATCCCGCCAGCATCCTCCGCATGTGTACGTGCAGCCATAAATACTTTTTATTGTTGCTTTCGGTTCTCCTTTAGCACAGGATGCCGCTTCTTTCACGGTTCGGGGCTGAGCCTGGAGCCAAGCAGCAGCTGATTACCACTCACCCTCTTACCTTTAATTGTCCTTTTCCTCCAAGCTTCCCTGAAATTAAGGAACAGAGGGCATTTTCTTCCACCCTGTAAATGAAATAACTCCATGACGGGCCATACCCCTCACTCCATCTGCCCAGAAACAGGTTCTCCTTCACCCAAGATCCCACCGTGCTGTGGAAGATCTTCCTTCAGACCTCAGCCACCGCATTCTGGGGGGGAAAAAAAGGTGACATTTCGGGAATGACCTTCCAGCAATGGAAATCCCAGAATCACAGAACCACCGAATCCCAGCATGGCAGGGGTTGGCAGGGACCTCTGTGGGTCACCCAGCCCAACCCCCTCCCCAAGCAGGGTCACCCAGAGCAGGCTGCACAGCACCGCGGCCAGGCGGGGCTGGAATATCTCCAGAGAAGGAGACTCCACAGCCTCCCTGGGCAGCCTGGGCCAGGGCTCCGTCACCCTCAGAGGGAAGAAGTTCTTCCTCGGGTTCAGCTGGAGCTTCCTCTGCCTCAGTTTGTGCCCGTTGGCCCTTGTCCTGTCACCGGGCACCACTGGACAGAGCCTGGCCCCGTCCTCCTGACCCCCACCCTGCAGATATTGATCGGCATTTCTAA